CGAATACCCGAATGCTTGGAAGCAAGGGGTCATAACGCCGATATACAAGGGTGGTGACAGGACAAACCCCTCTAATTACCGCCCGATAGCACTGCTTCCCACTGCCTCCAAAGTAATGGAAAGTATCATAGACGATTTCTTGCGCTGCCATTTAGAAAGTCTGTCCTTAATAGCCCCGGAACAGCACGGGTTCCGCAGGGCTCACTCGTGCACCACGAATCTTCTCGCAGCCCTTGATTCCTGGACTGCAGAGGCAGACAATCATACTCCAACTGACGTGGTTTACGTGGATTTCTCAAAAGCATTCGACCGGGTCAATCACGCACTGCTGTTGAGTAAACTGCCGAGTTTGGGGATCGACCAGCAAACAATCTGCTGGCTAAGTACCTACCTGTCTGGCCGCACCTACCGAGTTCGTGTAAACGGCGCACTCTCCAGCGCTCTGGCTGCAACGACCGGGGTGCCCCAGGGATCCATCCTCGGGCCCCTGCTGTTCAATTTGTTCATCAACGACCTCCCATCCTGTATCAGCAGCCACATACTGCTTTATGCGGACGACGCTAAGATATGGCGACCTATCTGCAGGCCAAGTGATCAGGCACTTCTCCAGACAGATATCGATGCTGCTTATTCTTGGGCCTCGAAAAATTCGCTCCCGTTTAACATCGACAAGTGCAAAGTCATGCACATTGGGCAAGGTGTGGCTAATCCGTACAATATCGGCGGTGTGCATCTTAAAGCCACATCCCAGGAACGCGACCTGGGGACCATAATATCCGCCGACCTGAGCCCGAGCGCCAATGTAGCTACACTGGCGCGAAAGGCTAGCGTTCGCCTGGCCCTCCTTGGACGTGCACTAGGGTCTTTCCCTAGAGAGACATTTGTCCGTCTCTATAGCACTTTAGTACGTCCGCTGCTGGAGTACAACATACTTGTCCAGCCGCCGTACCTGAAGAAGGACGAGGCCACGCTGGAAACTGTACAGCGCAGAGCCACTAAGAGAGTGGACGGACTATCCCACTTCTCGTATGAGGAGCGTCTGGCGGCCCTTAACCTCTTCCCGTTGAAATATCGCAGGCTTCGTGGCGACCTTAGCTTATTCCGTCCTGACTAATAACAGGCACCCAAACTCAGGATTGCTGGTCCGCGCCCGTACAGATCATCTTCGAGGGCACTCACTCAAACTGATGACTCGTAGCAGTCGCCTTCTGTGCCGAAGAAACAGTTTCAGTGTGCGTATTGCCTTCGCTTGGAACGCCCTCCCTGAAGTTGTTGTCTCAGCGCCCAATACGGAGGCCTTCAAACAGCGCCTAGACGCTTGGCTCTTACCTCGCTGGTCTTCCACGTTGCTAAGATCTGGCCATTTGCCAAGCTAACACGCGGCGCTTCTATCATTTTGCTTCTATCCAACTTTGCCAAATTTACCTACACCACTCTCTTGTTCCAGGTATCCACGTTCCCACAGTCAACTCGCTGAATACTTGTGCTGAACACCACTACTGCGTCGAGACCCACAACATCTGGTACCTACCGACGAGATCAGGACCTTGCCGTAAGATCCCGAGGCAGAACCACCGAAAAGCTACGCTTACTCGTTCTGCGAAAACCCGTGAAACCCGTGACCACAAGGACCGTGCACTCCGTCCCCTCCAGCGACGAAAAAATGTCTCCTGGAGCCAGTATGGACGAGCAGTGGGTAATAGCCAGGTAGGCACCTTGTCAACATGCACATCAAGCGCAGCCACACCGGGGATATCAAGCAACAGCCAATCACACGAAATAACGTTATCAAAAAAGTATGTCTGTTAAAGCATACGGCTATGCAGGCAACATCTCGCTAAATGTCCATATGAAGTAAGTTGGTTATCAACAAGCAAGCGACAAGTACTAAGTGTCCAAAGTTACTCGAGTAACTTTTCGGGGAATATATATATATATATATATATATATATATATATATATATATAAAGTGTGATTACAGACTAAGTGCCAACTGAACCTGTAGAGGCAACAGTGTGCACATTTCGCACGGCTAATGAGAATGTATTCTGTGTGTTCATTAGACGATCAAAATTAATGATGACGATGAATATTAATGAATCTTAGTGTAAGAATAGGAGCGGCGTCAAGATTCATCGCAGCTAGTCTTCAAACCAGGGGGCAGCTTACGGTTAATCAACTTCGCTCATGAGGTACAATCGCCAGCTGTCCCTCGTAACACCGCTTCGCTGCCGTGTGACCACTACCATTATCAGCCTCTTTATACAAATCAGCTAGAGGTGTAAAACATCTCAGCTACTGTGCCGCAATACATAAAGGAAAGTATAAAAATACGACAGTTGCATGTCAGCTGAGCTGCCAACAACGGATGGGCTTCGTTCCGCAAAGCCACCAGCCGGATACTAGGCAATAACAAAAATTATTATTTAAAGTTATATTATGCCGCTAAATGATATGGTGGTTGGAGGACGAGGTTAAAGCGGATGGACAGGGAAAAAGAAACTCACAGCATGAACGCCACTGAGGCCGGCTCCTAGCCATGTCAGCAACTTTAGTTAGCCAAACGTGTTCATCGTCTTTCAGACCCCAAACCAGGGAGCCGAGACGCTCCAACCGAGGCTACCTTCGAAGTGAGGATCTGCATTCCTCTCGATTAAGTAATCGCTAGGCCACCTCTTCTTCCATCCACACCCCCGGCAAGCACACGCACGTTGCGGGAGCCGATGGGCTGGCATGCGCAACATATGGCCGAGCCATCGGAACTTGGTAGGTGAGATGACGGTGCTGAGCGGTTCGGTTCCTTTTCCTGTGCCGTGAACAAGCCATAGAACATGCTCGTTGCTCACACAGTGTTCTCACCAGATGTGAGCCAAACTGCGAAGGCACCGGTGCTTGAACGTAACTAGCCTCTTTATGTCCGCTGCTCTAAGGGACTAGGTTTCACAAGCGTACAGTAGGGTTGAACGTACCGCTGCATTGTACACTCTACCCCTCAGGGCGAAAATGATGTCGCGCCGGTGCTATAGGTGGCGAAGGCTAGCAAAAGCACCCCAAGCTCTTGCTATACAGTTCGTGATCTCATCCTCGATCCCACCGGCGCTAATACAACTTCCCAGGTAGTTGAATTTCTGAACGACTTCTAGCTGTTGCCCTCCAAGAGTAAGCGTAGGAGGCGGTCCAGGCCAATCTTGGAGGAACGCTTCGCACTTCGAGGGTGCGAAGCAAAACCCGAAGCAGCTGACAGCCAGTGCTAATCTGTCCAGTGCCGGTTGTCACGTCTGAGAGCTGTCACAGATGATGGAAATATCATCTGCAAGTCAAGAAGTCGTCCTCCTGTGAGCAGATCCACACCATCTAATTCGCGTCCTGTGAATGCAATCTTTATGACTTCATTAATAGCGAAGTTGAAGAGGAAGGGTGACAGTGGGCATCCTTGTCTCACACAGCTGGAGATATCAAACGACGACGACAGCTTGCCATAAGACCTCACTCTGGCCGTGCTGAGCGCGTATAATGCTGGGATAACATTAACATATTTCTTGGGCACACCTTTCCTGAGTGAACAGTCTCAAGAAGCACATCGATCAACAGAATCGAAGATGCCTTTCCTGTCAAGGAACTTGACGATGGTGGACCGCCAATAGAGGTGACGGGGCTCCAACAACTGACGCAAAGTGAAGATGTGGTCGATGTAACGACGACCCCGACGAAAGCCGGCTTGCTGATCACGAATCTGGCTTTCACGAGCGCCAATCAATCTGTGAAGGATGACAGAGACAAGCAATTTGGGGCGGTGGAGATCAGACTAATTCCTCTATGGTCACCGCATTCCGATCGTGAACCTCCCTTGAAAATTGGGACTATGACGGAGCGGCTCCAGTCGGTTGGGACAGTTTCCTGCTCCCACAGTTTCACTTGTAATTCGTGTAAATCATTCAAAAGAGCAGGCTCCCGAATGTGAAGAGGGCTGGAGGAAAATCATCTGGTCCCGCGGCTTTATTCAACTTCAGCAGTCTGATCTCACGTTCGATCACTGAGTGAGAGGGCGGAGCCAAAGGGCAGTCCACGGAGCAGGGCGATCACTCCCTGGCGAGAAATCTGACAATTCCGACCGATTAAATTACCTTGCAGTGCTCCGCCCAACGCTCCAAACGTTTCGGCAAACTGTGGATGGGATGTCCACTCTCATCACGTGTAGTATAGTGAATAAGGACAATCCAGAGGATTTGTCTGTTGAAACCTGTTGTTGTGTGTCCGATTTGGACTCCTCAAGTATTGAAAATTTGGGTCAGTCCAACCACACTGGTTCGACAAGAAGTACAGCCAGTTTGCTGTACTCGGTTACGAGGTGTGTCATATGAAGACCAGTGTAAGAAACTAGGGCTTTACACCCTAGCTTATTGTCGACTGCGGATTGATCTCATAAACGGGTCTTTGTACCTGAGTGATATTAGATGCAGCTACACAGAGATAACTCTTTTTGCTGCTCCCAATCAGTAATCCAAGGGAATCGAATGTCTATCAATAATTGACGTGCGGTGGGAAGAGTTCTATCCGGCAACAACACACATCCCACGGCATTCAAGAGAAAACAAATGCAGGAACATTCAAAATTACAAAATATGTAGCCCGGATGGCTCTTTAAAGCAACTGAAGGTAAAGAGTTAGTCAAGATGACTTCCTGAGTTTATAAATCAAGCACCTTGACTAGCAAAATGGCGGGATGCGCAAACGAGGCCTGAACGACAGGATAATCTGCGGGTCGTTGAACCAAGAGTCGACAGGGCGATTTGAAAGATGTGTAATAACGAATGAAATGTCTATAACAAACCCGAGTAATTTGTCGTTCAGAACAACGCGTTGTCTGGCATGTATAGAAATGCATATAAAAATCAGGTGACATTGCACGGCTTCAACCATGAGGATAGATGTGCAAGGTAGACCGTAAACCACACTTAACGTGGTGTGTAACGACAACAAAGGAAATAAGTCAAGCTCACCATCATCCATTGGAGACTTGTTGATGAGAGATGCCTGTGTGTTTAGGGCTTCATTCACATCAACAACCGTGCCAGAGGCTGGAGAGTATACCTCACTGACGGCTTTGACTGACTCAACGAGCCCGCACTGTTCTTGTCAACAAGTTGAATGAGCCCTGAGAGCACATACCGTTGGCGGTAACAGCATCTTTTATTCCCGGTAGCTCCACATAAACCACGTCGCCAAGTTTTTGTTCGGCGTATTTCGATAATCCTACTGTTCCCATCTTGGCTTTATCATCGACACGTATCCATTCATGTTTCTCTGTAAAATACAAATCTATGAAAACAATAAGTGAGTAAAACACAATAACTTGTGCAAGTTGGTCTGGTGATACTTAAACGTCGAACGAGAGGAAGTCCCCAGCGGTAAGCGGAACGAAGAACTAGAGGAAAAACCATTGTAACAGATCAGGTAGGAAAAGCTGGAGATGTAGATGGGAAATCCAGGCTGTAAATTAATCGTACAAGAAGATAAACAAACGAGTTATGGAAGGGTCAGCCCCAGCCACAGAAGGAAAGGATGCAAGACGATGATGCACCGACGAGCGGAATACGAAAACGAACGAGTGGGGCGGAAAAATGTGTACGACTTACCGAGAGAAACAAAAGAAACCAAAAATAACGGCTAGTTTAGACAAACCAGTACAGTTTCGACTGCGCTACACTGCAATATTTTCCAAAAGAAAAAGTGCTCTCAGTGCCTAAACAGGAAGGGCACCATCCGCCGCAAATGGGTTTCCATCATCAATCATCATCAATACACGTTAGCCCAGGGGGAGAAACAAACCACAGCTAATGTGACGTAATACAGACTAGGAAAGCTAAAAAGAGTAACAATGCTAAAATCACATTATGCATAGGGTTTGGATCGCTGTTGGAAGGGGAAGCTAAAGGGGGGGACGGATGAAGAGACTCACAATACAAACCCCACTGAGATCGGCTCCTTTCCATGTCATCTAGTATATCCAGCAAAACGTGTTCATCATTCTTGGGACCCTATCCATGCAGTCGGGAATGTGTGTTCCCACTGCGCAACCGAAAAGAAGTCGGCACAGGATGGTTAAAGACCGTGCAAAATGGGAAGCACAGAGCAATGTCCAGCACCAAGACTCACAGAATGAACCAGATGTTTCGAAAGACAAGGGTTTAAACGTGCGGTGTCTGTAAAGGCAAAATTCGTCGTTAAGTTGGCCACGATAGAAAATAGAAAAATCCGCGACAAGAGATGTCAAACAATGCGATATG